ATAAACATAAACCCCAGAGTAAGAAGGGAAAGAAGGGCTGGGTCTCAGCACCTGAGTCAGGACAAGGGAGAATGGCTCAGCGCTGACAGAGTAGGGTTAGATGGGAATATTGGGAAGGACATTCCTGGCTGGGAGAGTGGGGAGGCCCTGGCACAGGTTGCCCAGAGAAGCTGTGGCTGCCCCTGGATCCCTGGAAGTGTCCAAGGCCAGGTTGGACGGGGCTTGGAGCACTATGGGACAGTTGAAGGTGTCCCTGCCCGTGGCAGGAGGTGGAATGGGATGACTTTTAAGGTCCCTTCCAACCCAAACCATTCCAGAATTCTGTGATAAGACAACCACAGCAGAATTCCCTGTCTTTCTGAAGGTAAGACAAGCTACACTCCTGTGGGAAATAGCACCTATGAAATAGAGGCTGTTATTAATGAAGCAGTTGTACAGTAGTTCAAACACTGCCCTTCCAGTTCTTATACACTGTTACATCCACAACCCAGTGAATTCCTGCTGAACTGTGGAATTAATGGAATCCAAAATAAAACAGGTACAGTGCTTCAGAAAGAGTAGTAGAGTTGAGCTTGTGAGAAATGACTTCTTTAGCATCTTGTAAAAGGGCACCAAAACATTATTGTAAAGATTTTCTCGTGGAAGTGGGGTATGTACATCCTCAGTTGGATCTAGGAGGGAAGACTAATTTTTGCTGGCAGCAACTGATAATGTTAATCACAGAATCATGAAACATTCTGATTTGGAAGGAATCCACAAGGATCATTGAGTCCTGCCCAGGACCAACCCCAAGAGTCCCACCCTGTGCCTGAGAGGATCATCCCAACCCTCCTGGAGCTCTGGCAGCCTTGGGGCCGTGCCCACTGCCCTAGGGAGCCTGTTCAGTGCCATAACCCTCTGGGGGGAGGAACCTTTTCCTGAGATCCAACCTAAAACTCTCCTGACCCAGTTCCAGCCCTTCCCAAGGGTCCTGTCACTGGTGATAGAGAGATTAGTGCCTGTCCTGAACTTTTAAAATGAACCATGTACTGGCAGTGCATTGGGATGGTGGTTAAAATACAGGAGTCAGCATTTGGAGTTAAGAAAAACATGGGTACCAGGGAAACTTATCTTTAGATCAGTAGATCTACCTGACAGTAGGGCTACAATGTGCTGTCTCAGGAGATGTGCACAGAGGTTTTGAGCAGTGACAGACATGAAAACGAAGCTGTTTGTCGTGTTTGGTGTAACCAAACAATCCCATGGATCCAGGGAGATGTGCCGGCTGTTTGTGGACCGTTGGGATCTCTCTACAGGGTCGCTGCTCTCCAGCACCTGTGATGTCCAACAGAGCCATGGCAGGTGACGGAGACAAGGAGTTGGGAATGGCTTCCAGAGCTCCAGACAGATGGCTCAGTGAAACACAAGCCTGCAGCTCACTCTGGAATACTTTTACATCTCTGGTGGGAGGCTCCAGGCAACCTAAGAGAATCCCAAATACAGCAGGATGTTGTAGGAGTGTGCTTTATATTCCCTATTTGGTAAGAGCTTTAAGGAAAACTATTCCTGGGTGAGAGGCACATCCCTTCCCCAGGTGCACCTTCCTTCTTGAGGCGAGACATGAGCTGAGCGGCACAATCAGGTTTTCTTAGAAGGAGAATAAGCAGTAATTTTAGCAAATGGAAGTACTTATGTAAGGATTGGGTTCGTAATTTGCACCTAGCTGTGTGCCTGCGATGAAAAATGGATCATATTTCCTGCCTAAATAGCTGAGACCTGTCAGGTGGCAGCTTTTTGTCTGAAGAGAGGAGCTGGATCTTCACCTATGAGCTTGTTCCCTGATGAGGAGTGGTTGTAGATTATGCAGTTGAGAACGGACTATAGGAAATAGCTCACATTTTTTGTCTGTCTTTAAATCCCTGCAGACTTTTGAACAAGGGACTTTTGGAGTTGCTTTGTGAGCCTCCTGTGAGATCAAGCTGTACTTACTTTGAGAGATAGGGATGAGTGTTTGACTGAAACACTGTGTGTTTTTCATGTGGGCAAAAAGCAGCTGCCCCACAAGACTGGAAAAGTGGCTGTCCCTGGATCCCTGGAAGTGTCCAAGGCCAGGTTGGACGGGGCTTGGAGCAACCTGGGCTAGTGGAAGGTGTCCCTGCCCATGGCAGGGGTTGGAATGAGATGGGCTTTAAGTTCCCTTCCAACCTAGACCATTCTTTTCCATGAATATGTGTAAAAACAGCCCTGGAGACTATCCCATGCTTGTCAGCCAAGACAGACCCAGTGGAAGGGGTCTCTGGCTGATGTCTGATTAAAGGTGAGAACAGGAGAAAACAAGGCTCCATCCCAGGAGTACAGTTCACAGCTGGATGTATTTGATGGATGTTTTGTGGCAGGTAAATCTGAGTCTGGAGAGACTGGACAGGTAAATCTGAACTACCAGAGGTGCAGTGCAAGCTGTGCTGGGCCTGCAGGGAAAGAGGAAGGGGCAGCAGTGGTGTGAGCTACTTCACCTGTGAGGCAACAAATAATAATACCGAGGGTAATTGCATTGAGTAACTTGTGTAAGCTGCAGCAAGTGTATTTCATGGAATAACGAAGTTGAAAAAACTGTCTAAGATCATCAATTCATCCAGCACTGTCAAGGCCACCACTGACCCACGTCCCCAGGTGTCACATCCACAAGGCTTTTAAATCCCTCCAGGGGTGGGGACTCCGTCACTGCCCTGGGCAGCTGTGCCGGGGGTGGACAACCCTTTCTGTGAGGAAATTTTCCCCAGTATCCAATCTAAATCTCCCCGGTGTAACTTGAGGCCGTTCCCTCTCCTCCTGTCCCTGTTCCCTGGGAGCAGAGCCCGACCCACCCCGGCTCCCCCCTCCTGTCAGGGAGTTGCAGAGCCAGAAGGTCCCCCCTGAGCCTCCTTTTCTCCAGGCTGAGCCCCCCCCGCTCCCTCAGCTGCTCCAGCCCCTTCCCAGCTCCGTTCCCGTCCCTGCACACGCTCCAGCCCCGCAGTGCCTCTCTTGTCTGAGGGGCCCAGAACTGGACCCAGCACTGTTGGTGCCTCAGCCCTGCCCCGCGCAGGGGTCGCTCCCCGCTGGTGCAGTGCCCACACGGCCGCTGACACCCCCGGGGGCCGCTCTCCCCCCGAGCCCAGCGGGGCCGTCCCGCGGCTCCTCCCGGCGGGGCCGGGCCAGGGCGGCGGGGGCGGCCCCGGCCGGTTTGGCGCCAAGGCCGCCATGGAGCCGGAGCGGCTGCGGCGCCGCCTCAGCGCCGCGTTCCGCCTGCGGGGGCTCCTGCTGCGCCCGTGAGTACCGCGGGCAGCGGGGCAGCTCCCGTGCCCGCTCCGCTGCCCCCTCCGCTGCCCGCTCCGCTGCCCGCTCCGCCCGCAGGGATCGTCCCCCGGCGGGGCTCAGGCCCAGGGGCCGGGGCTGTGGGATGGGATGGGGTGGGGGCAGCTCCGCACCCCCCGCGTCCCCTCCTCGGGACGGGAGGATGCCTTTCCGCCCTCTTCATCTCCACTCTGGAACCTCCTCCAAAGCCCTGTTGTTTTGCCTTTCCTGCTGCTGTGGGTCTCTTCCATCCCTCCCTCCCTGTTTCCCACCCGTGACCCGACCCACTGCAGCGCCCGCCGTGGGTTCCACCAAAGACCTGCCCGCGTTCCCCCTCGGAGCCCTCCCTGATGCCGGCGCTGGGTGTGTGGTCGGGTTGTGTTCTCCGATGCTCTGCCTGACAACTCTGGGAGTTCTTTCCCAAGTTGCACTTGCCAGTCCCGTGTTCAGCATCCCTTGCTAGAAGAAGAAATAGTACTTCCAAAGGAGAAAATGGCATTCTCAAAGACAGAAATGGTATTTCCAAAGGAGAAAATGGCATTTCCAAGGGCAGGAATGGTATATTTTCAAATATAATAATGTGTATTATTTAGAGATGGCAAGTCAATCAAAAGTGGTTCCTGCTTGCAGTGGAAGGTGTCATGATTTAAAGGACAGCCGGGGGCTCCATCGCTCCTATTTTCCCTTTCTAGCTCATGTGTTAATATTAGTTCTGTTTTGTTTGTGTTGTGGATGGGATGGGATTATTTTGGACAGCGTCCTGGCACTTTCATTAGCGAGGAGTCCAAGTCCAGAACTCCGGACTCCAGGGTTCCATGAACTGAGACATTTTGAAGATCAGGCTGATAACCAAAACACCACTTTGGTTGGCCAGCAGATGACATTGATAAGAAAATTGTCATCTTTAACTGCAAGACTGTAGTCTAAGGAGAAGGGAAGAAACAGATTTCTAATTCCTGTGTTATTTAGAATTAAAATAATTCCAGTCCCAGAGATATTGATAAAGTGGAAAGGGTTCTGCAGAGGCTGTTAAGGTGGTCATGAGTTGGGAGCTGTGGTGGGTAAGGGAAGTAGGAAGAGCAGCGCTGCATCCAGGTCTGGGGCTTCCAGCATCAGAAGGATGTGGAGCTGCTGGAGCAAGTCCAGAGGAGGCCACGGAACTGCTCCAGGGCTGGAGCCCCTCTGCTCTGGAGCCAGGCTGGGAGAGCTGGGGGGGTTCCCCTGGAGAAGAGAAGGCTCCAGGGAGACCTGAGAGCCCCTTGCAGGGCCTAAAGGGGCTCCAGGAGAGCTGGAGAGGACTTGGGACAAGGCATGGAGGGACAGGACACAGGGAATGGCTCACTGGAAATGCTCAAGGCTTGGCTCAATGGGGTCCTGCTTTCAGGAGGAGGTTGGACCAGATGGTCTCCAGAGGTCACTTCCAACATGGACTTAAATGTATGGAGCTGAGATTCTCCACATCCGCTTCTTGTCCTCAATGTTTTCAATCCCAATGAGTTTTTTTCTTTGACATAAACTAGGACACTATTACCAGTTCTAATTATTTCTACTTTTTGTAAACCACAAGCCGTACAGTGATGATGTGCACAGCTGCCAAAATCAGTGCTGCTTGTATAAACTCTGGAATAATTATTGCTTTTTGTTCTTTCTCCATTGGAATTAGGGATGCTCTGAAGTATCTTGCTGAAACTTTTCAGTCCATCAGTGAAGTAGAACTTGAGGATGTAATTGAAAATGTCATCGATGCCGTTGAAAAACAGCCATGTGAGTAAACAATTTCTTTTTCTTAAGCGAGTTTATCTGGCACTTAGGATGTTATTTAGACAAAGACAGAGTTACTGGCAGTAGAGGCACTAAGGTGTCATTGTAGTATAACGGGTTGATTGAGATAAATGTGTTTGTTGACAATTTGTTTTGTTAAATACTGAAGTTTGCAGTGTCAGCAGAAGACATTTATGCCATTTAAAAAGTTGGCAGCCCGGTACATTCCTGACTTTTCCAAAAGTGGTAACATTTTTCAGTGCCAGTTACTAAAAGTTTGCTTGGACATCTTTGTCCTTGAAACCATCATTTTAAATATTAAAATGGAGAGAGACTATTTGGAGTGACAGGACAAGAGAGAATGGCTCCAAACTGAAAGAGAACAGGTTTGGATTGGATATTGGGAAGACATTCCTGACTGGGAGGGTGGGCAGGCCCTGGCACAGGTTGCCCAGAGAAGCTGTGGCTGCCCCTGGATCCCTGGAAGTGTCCAAGGCCAGATTGGATGGGGCTTGGAGCAACCTGGGCTAGTGGAAGGTGCCCCTGCCCATGGCAGGGGGTGGAATGAGATGGGCTTTAAGGTCCCTTCCAACCAAACCATTCTGGGATTCTGTGAGAAAATAAACCAAAGAAATAATGAGAAATTAATTCACTTGTTAGTCAGTAATCTGGGCCCAGAAAAGGGTTACTGAGAGGTGTGGTCTGAGGGGTCTGGCAGCACAAAACAGGAATTGTAGCAGCTTTAGTTAAAGGATGTGACTGACAGAGGATGCCTGAAGTGTGTTTACTGATCAGAGCTTATGAGAACTAGGAAACATGGGCTCACTTCCAGTTTTTGGCCAAGGAGGTTCAAATCCATATAAATATGTTCTAAAGTAAAAGCCAGGCCTTAGGTGAGTTCGGGAAACCTTCCCAGCCTATCCTATTTAAATCCAGAGGGGCATATGCTTGTTCTATTACTGCTCAGAAATACTTTTAATTTCAATTATCAGTTCAAATCCACGAAGTCAACAACGTGCCTGTCTCCAAAATTGTGCTGGAATGCTTCCTCATGGCAGCAATCCGTGTGATAATGTTCTGGAACAAAATTAACCTCCAGGATGTGAAAGCTCCGCTCTTAACACATTTGTAGTTATATTTGGCAGCTTTGCCTTGACTATAATTGTCTTGTTCTCCACGTTTAGGGAATTGATGGTGGGCACAGTGTGCTTTTTGCTACAAATGTGTCCTTTTGGGTGACAGTGTGAAGCGATCCATTTGTAAACACCGCGTGTCCTGAGCTTACAGAAAACCTGCTTGTTTGTGTAATAGATTCCTCTGACAGGACTCAACCATTCATCTTAAAATATTTGAGACCCACTTCCTCGGTGCATCCCGCAGGCTGCACTTGCAATCCTTGGAATTTTTTCTTCCCAGTGTCATCCAACATGATTGAACGGCCCACGGTGGAAGCAGCGGTGCAGGAATGCAGCCGGGCGCCCGATGAAGCCACGTATGGTGACACTGGGCTGTTTGATTTGGGGTTCCTGGGGGTGCATTTCCTTCTTTCTCCTCGGGAGAGAAATGGCAGGCATTTTCTGAGGTGCTCTGTGCTTTTGTCTCACCCCCCACCCCCCTCGTGCTGCCTTTTTGCAGGTTTGTAACGTTGCTCCCCAGAGAGTTTGTTCTCGTGGATTGGCCTCTGGAGGGGGGTTCTAAATATAATCTGACATTCTGGAATTCAAATGCTGTGGTTGTGTGTTCTGTGTGCTACAGGTTGAATATTAACCCACACGTCTGTTCGTGTTCTTTATTTGCTTTTCTCTAGATGGAAATTATCCCGGGTTATTTTGGGGCCTTTCTTGCCTGAGAGCACTTTGAAAAGTTTTCTGATTTTCCCCCTCTGATAACAAGCTGTGCAGCAATTACTGCAGTTCCTGAGAACTTTGTGGTGGTGATGAATGTGTTTCCTTTAGTGTTTATGTTGTATTGACATTGCAATGCAAAGCATGAAAAGAACTGGTTTTGCTGGGCACGTCAGTTGGATGCTGTCATCCCACAGCCATCCCAAGATGGAGCAAATTTGGGCTTAACTTTTCTCCTTCCTTGTTGTTGGAACCTTTATGATGCAGATGGTTGGTTTGAGTGTGGCTTTTCTTTGTGGTTCTTTTTCATACTTCAGAGAAATCTGTGTGCGTGGATTCTCAGTGTCCTGAAGGGAAAAGCTCTCCAGATCACAGGCACAACTCTCTTCAATTATTTAGTTAGAAGATGCAGTTGTATCCAGTGGGTGCAGCACAAAATAGAATATAAACCAGACAAATGCAGGAGAAAAGGTGGTAACACAGGGTGACAGCGAACAAAGCAAATGTGATTTTATTCAGCATGTCCTTTACTGTTTGTTCCGTCCACTTCATGGAATCACAGAATGGTTTGGGTTGGAAAGCAATGTTGAAGTAACGCTGTCAATGAATTGTTGTTTCAGAGAAAATGTCTTCAACGTCATTGGAGCCTTCGACGTTCCCCGATATATTTATAACGCAGAAAGGAAGAAGTTTCTACCGTAAGCCTTCCATAGCTTAGGTTTCAAGTACTTCTTGCTTTAAGAAAAAAAAAAAAAAAGCCTCTATTTCTATAAGGTTTGAAGTCTGGTTTTGATCCTTCCCCCTCAGGTCTGTTCACCTCAAGCCTGAGGGAGAATGATCGTAAATGTTTCAAACCACAAACCATGTTTATGCCATCCAGTGAATAAAAAAGACAGGAAGGTTGAGGACATACATCACTAAATGTAGCTTGGGCTTGTTTTTTTCTCACATTTAGCTGTTTAATTCTGTTTTCTAATAAATTTGCTCTGTCTGTTGCACTGTATTTCTCTAGTCTGTACCTTGCAGCTCCCTGAAGCCCTGGGGGATTTCTAAGGAGAACTCCAAATGCTAAAAAAAAAAAAAAAAAGAAAAATTAGGAGCAGCTGGTGATTCTGGAGGCTGGAGAAACTGGGGGAATAATACTCCTGTTCATGGCCACTTAAAAGGCATAACTGCTTTTCATAAAAAATGGATTTCTGCAGAGGCCCATTTGGGTGGAGAGATAAATCTCCAGGCCTGGGAGTTAGGAAATGAAATGGATGTAGCCTTCAAAACGCAGAAACACGGGATCCAGAGCAGGAATGTTCCTGGTGGAGTAACTGAATCACACAGCAGCATTTGTAGCTTTTGCGGCCTCCCAGAACTTTTGGATCAATAAGTAATTTTTGTGTGTGAAATGTGCCTTTTTTTTTTTTTTTTTTTTAAACCTTGGCTGTCTTGATCTTCTTGCAGTCTGTCAATGACCAACCTCCCTGCACCTAATTTATTTGGAAGTGCCAGAGATAAAGCGGAGCTGTTCCGGGAACGCTACTCCATCCTACAGCAGGTCAGGAGACGCTGCCTTTCTGTGAGCAGCAGAGCTGTCCTCAGGGACAGAGCCTAAATCCTCCTTTTCCAAAAATACACTGTGCTATTGCACCTCTTTGCCTCGTGGTTTCACATAAACTCTCTTGTCTCCTGCTAGTCAGAAATCCCTTCTTTCTGAAAGCATCACAGAGTACGTTTTTTAGGCTTGGTTTTGTTACCCAGTGTTATTGTTCATCTAGTTCTTAGAGGCAAATTCTTGTCAAAAGAAGTGCTTAATTAAAAGTTGCTGGATAAAACAGGGGAAGAACTTTATGGAGTGTTTTGCACAGTGGTTGTGGTGAACTGGCTTCCTGACACTGCTCATTTGTTTTCAAACTGAGTTACTTCCATTTTGGTTTGTGCAGAGGACTCACAGACACGAGCTGTTCACCCCCTCACCGATTGTGGCTCACCCTGATGACAGCAAGAGCAAATTCCAGGTAAAAAAAAATCGTGTTCTTTTCAGTTTTAATCCTGTTTCAAGCAAAACAATCCCAGCAGCCACTCCTGGAAACCTTTTTCCTAAACTGTGCTACATTCAGACATATGCCCCTGATTTCTCTAACAAGCCTGTACCCTCTCATAGCTCATTTGTGTATTTATGTCAAACATGTGCTGAGTGTCTTGCCTAAGAACAGGCCCCTGGAGGGTTTGGTTTAGTTCTGATTTGATTCTTTGCCTTTGTTTCCAGCTGAAGACAGTAGAAACTCTCCTGGGCAATACAGCCAGAGTGGGAGAAGTGATTGTGCTTGGGATGATCACTCAGCTTAAGGAGGTGAGTTCCTTCCTCCTTTTATTTGTGAGTTATAATATGGCAGGAAAGGAGAACACCTAAACATCTCACCACTGGATCCATTCTGATGGGCTTTCCCACGAGCAGTTGGTGCCAGTGTGAGAGGGGGAAGTGCCTTTGTCTTCTCTTGGGTATATTTTGCTTTATTAAATCTGTTTTTTAGGGGAAATATTTCCTAGAAGACCCCACAGGAGTCGTCCAGCTGGACCTCAGTAAAGCAATATCCTTTTTCTGTGATGGAGGAGCTGAAGGAATTTTCTGTAGACCTGCAGAATTTTAAGTTGAATAGTAAATCAATACTGACCACTAAAAAATATATATATTGAGAATTGCAGCGCTCTCTTTCTCCTTTGTTTCAAATTCCTTGGCTGCTGCAGCTCCCTGCCCTTTCTCCTAGGACAAGGTCAGTATTTCTTCTTGTGGAAGCAGAGCCTGTTCCTGGTTCTGGGCTCTTTATGGACTTACCTGCTCAGATGCCAGGGAATTTCCAGGCTCTTCAGGCAGCCTGTGAACTTCCAGTAGCATCCAAATGCATTCCACCAGCTGGAAAGCAGATTTTGGCCAAAGAACCTGCTTTAAGAGTCCTGATCTAAGAGAAATCCATTCCTTAACCCTCCTGCACCAGTTCCACAGTGGGTTATACACCGAATCCTGCTTTGTTCTGGCAGAAGGTAAAGCAGAGTGCATTGGTTTTAGCTTGTAATTAATTCTTCTGTTCAGGCTGTCACTGCCAGATGTGGCTGAGCAGACAAGTCTCGTGTTGACAAGGCTTGACCGTAAAATGTGTCTGTGGCTGAGATTTTGGGCCATAAAGCTGTTGCTCTGTGGGGTCTGGAGGCAGAGAGCAGGAATTTGAGGGTTTTAGGGTGTTGAGTACCTGTAGCAGCTTTGAGGGTTCACCTCAGCCTGGCTCCAACATTGCAGGAGTTATGACTGGATTGGGAGGACAGACTGGACTATCCAAACAGCGTGATTCAACAATCTGGAAACCCTGCTTTGTGTTGGCACAGCTTGGTCCTTCAAGGGCTTTGAAGAGCCTTCTCCTCAAGATGATGTCAGGCTTTGCAGTTTGGGAGCCTCGGCTGTTTCTGTTTGCAGAATGTCCCTCTGTGCAATATGCACAATCACAGCCTGCTTTCTAGCGTGTTCTATGTTTAAAATGCATGGAGTGAATAGAAGTGGGGAGCACAAATGATAGTGGGGACAAGCATCACCCCCTTCCTTCTAAAAAGTGGGACAGTCCTTGAGACAGAGTGCATGTGATGGGGACCCTTCCAGGGCAGAAATGATTCCTGTTCCCCTGCATTCCCCCTCGGGTTGAGGAGGTTGTTTTTGTGGCTGTGCAGCAAATCCATCCCGAGAAGTGGTGGTGGGGGGGGGGGTAACAAAACGCTTGGTTTCTTGCTCAGCCTGTTTTCCAGCCAGATCCTGCCGTGGCCTGGTTCTGGGATCACAGGAGGGACTGATGGAGGCTGGGAATAGCTGTGCAGCACAGCTGCCAACCCTCTGACTAATGTCTGGGACGTGGTGCTGCTAGAAAGGCTCAAGGTTGTTTTGCTGTTCCAAAATCCCTTAGGTTGGTACGAAGATGGAGTTTTTCATGTGAATGCTTTTGGATTTCCGCCCACTGAGCCTTCTGCTACCACGAGGTATAAAACTGGCTTTTGGCAGCCTCGCTCCTTATTTTCTTCAGAGTTTCTTAAGTAAGATCATTATTATTTTAAAATTTCTGTGACATTCAAGTATGTTGTTCGTCCTCCTCCCCAGATGCTTCAAAATAAATACGGTTTTAAGGAAGCAATTCTGGGACTTGTTGCTCTGCTTGGACCAGCACTAAAGCTTGGAGTGTTGGCAGAAAAAGCCTTCCAAAGGCCTTTGGGCTCTGCATATTAATTGAAATTGGGATCTAAGCCCTTCTCAGTTGGAAAACTAGGGAATAACATGGGAATAACAAATTCCTTGTTGCTTGAAGAGTGGATCATAGAATCTCAGAATGGTCTGGTGGAAGGTGTCCCTGCCCATGGCAGGGGGTTGGAATGAGATGAGCTTTAAGATCCCTTCCAACCCAAACCATTCTGGGATTGTATGATCCTAACTTGAATATTTTAATGATGTAGAGCCTTCTATGGGAATATAAACTTCTTTGGAGGCCCTTCTTCATCGTCAGTAAAGGCTTCTGCCAAGCTAAAGCAGCTGGAGGAAGAAAACGAAGATGCCATGTTTGTGTTTCTCTCTGATGTGTGGCTGGACCAAGCAGAAGTGCTGGAAAAGCTTCACATGATGTTTTCAGGTGGGTGAGAATTGCTTTGACTCGTTTTCATCATTTGTTTTCCCTAATTCATAGTACTGACATTGCTTTGGCCAGCAGCCACTTTATCTGCTGTGACAAGAACGTTTCTCTTTCTCCTCAAAGTTGTTCCTAGGCTTAGTTTAAAAAAACCTCTTATTTCAGTGAGATGAGCACTGCTTCCCACTGCCAGAGGGCAGGGTTAGATGGGATCTCAGGAAGGAATTCTTGGCTGGGAGGGTGGGCAGGCCCTGGCACAGGTTGCCCAGAGAAGCTGTGGCTGCCCCTGGATCCCTGGAAGTGTCCAAGGCCAGGCTGGAGCAACCTGGGCTGGTGGAAGGTGTCCCTGCCCATGGCAGGGGGTGGAACTGGATGAGCTTTAAGGTCCCTTCCCACCCAAACCATTCCAGGATTCTGTGGTTAGTAATGTTGACAACACTGGGATAACAAAGCATCTGTGAATTGCTTCTCTGTATTCCAGAGCAGTTTAGGAACAGCTTGTCCTGTCAGCCTTAGATAGAATGGAAGTGTGAGAGGGTGGCTGCTTTAAAAATAAACAATTTAAGAGTGGGAAACTGCTCCTCACCTGAGCAGAACTGGACACAAATTAACACACTCATCCAGAAGTTACAAATCCAGTTCCAGTAATCTGGATCAAAGCTGGCAAATCCTTGAAGCAAACTTGGACCTGATCCAAGATCTCAGGTGCTGAGGTGACAGGGGGACTTTGGGTGGGTGAGGTTCGTGTGCTGAACTCACCCGGCAAAGGTGCAGACGCTGCAGTTCCTATTTTGGGATTTTAATAGGCAAGTGATTACCTTCATAATTATAACCTGAAAGGAATAGCTGAGTGGAATAGCAAGGAAAATATCGATGAGCCGTTCCTCTGGGACAAGCAATTCTGTTCTATTTACCAACCCGATTGAAAACCACTGAAGTAAATCCAAGTCTGGTCCTGCATGTGAGGAAAATGGAGAGTAACTGGGATGTGAGATGAATGCCTGAGTAGATGTTTCTATTTTTATTTCAGGGATGGGAATCAGGTTTCTTCTCTCACCCTTTGCTATGAAGCCCTGTGTTTCGGGGTGATCAGTGAGATTGTCAGGATTCATCAGATCCTTCAACTGCTCAGGCAATCCCAGTTACTGTTGCTTTATAATACCAAAGAATGAATTAAATATTGGTAGAGCCTTGAATTAGAGTGATCATGGAGGTTCATAGCAATCCATTGCTGCCTACTTGCTGGTTTTTCTCTTTAAGGAACTAGTACATTTTAAAATGGTATTATTTATTATATTGCATGCTGTATTATTCTCTGGACTGGTACAGCAGCTGGATGCACAAAAACAATGTGGAAACTGAGCTCCCTTGAAGTGCCATTTGTACATTGTCATGGCCCTTTTTGAGCTGAAACCAGCCTGTATCCAGAAAATAGTTCATGTGTATTTATAGCAGCAGAGCTTCAAGTGCCGTTGCAGTTCCTGCCTTTCATGGAAGGGGCTGGAAGCCGAGTGCTGAGAGACACCCAAGTGAGTGGAACAAAGTCACAGATCCTCTGTTTTCCCAGGTTATTCCTCGGCACCTCCCACCTGCTTTTTCTTCTGCGGAAATTTTTCGTCGGCGCCGTACGGAAAAAATCAAATTCAGTCCCTGAAAGGTAGGGGAGTCCTGGTAAACACTCACACGTGTGCCCTGAATGAAAATAACGATGGCAAACAAACGAGGGGAGCAGAAAATGAGCCCTTATTTTCCAAGTGACACGTGTTAATGCACCCGAGTGTGGGGGGTGATTCATACAGCTTGTGTTCATTATCTAACCGGGTGATGTATTTTTTCCTGACCCCAGGCTCTTTGAAGGCTCTGGCAGATATCATATGTGAACACCCCAGCATTCATAACAGGTACAGAGCAAAGGGAAAGCTGTTTATTTTGTGAAACCTTTTAATTGCTTTAGGAAAGTAAGAGATATTTGTATTTTCTCTCTGCTGCGAGCCAGCTGTGATCAGATAACAAGCTGGTTTTGTAACAGGCCTGCAAGTTTGTTTTGGGAGCAGCGTGAGGCTTTGATTTTATCTCAAATAGCTGGGGCATGGAAACTGCTAATGAGGGAGGCCAGGTCTCTCCCTGGAATATTTTCCTGGTTCCTGATCTTTGAATTCCTGGCATTAGACCTCCTTTCTGGAATCTGCATAAAAGTGATGCCTTTTAACTTTTTACAGTAGTCGATTTGTGTTTGTCCCTGGCCCTGAAGACCCTGGTCCTGGTCCTATCTTACCAAGGTCAGTTTGCTCAGGAATTTGGAGTTAAATAGTGGAAGAAGGGAAGAGTTTTTGTTGATATATCTGCTGCTATTTATTTTAGACCTCCCCTTGCTGAAAACATTACTCAGGAGTTCAGACAGCTGGTGCCATTTTCAGTTTTCACCACAAATCCTTGCAGGTAACAGTGCAAGTACTAATTGTATTTCTTTATTTATTTTACCAAGTGACTGCTTTATGTGATTTTCAAAACCTACAAATTTCGGAAAAGTCGGTCTTAAATTTGTCAAACCAATGGAATTCTTCACATGCGTGAATTGTAACTACTTCTAAATACATGAAGGCATAAATAAATCAGTGATGAAAGGCAATAAAACTAGAAGTTTGACAGTGGTTTACAAATCCTGCTCAAAGGCATCATGTTTTTTCTGAATCTGGAGGAAATGCGGGGAAGATGGGAAAATATTATTTTAATTCAAATGTGCTTTTTTTTATATTAGAGGGAGATCAACTTCATAATGCAGCTCCCTAGGTTTTAGGTTCATCTTATTTAATTTCATCACTGTTTTCCACTTTAGGATTCAATACTGCACCCAAGAAATGATTATCTTTCGGGAAGATTTGGTCAACAAAATGTGCAGAAACTGTGTCAGATTCCCCAACAGCAACATGGACATTCCCAACCACGTGAGTGAGTCGTGCTGAGCACCTTTGGCCAAGCTTTTTGACCTGTTTGTTGGTCAGCAGGTCTGGATTTCGGGTGCTCTGATCCTCATTCTCATGACATGTTGCAAGAGGAACCCAGAGGGCCTGGGAGGAGGATCTGTACATTTAGTATTTTTGCAGTAAAATAACTCAAACCATGGTACTTTCAGGTGGTATTGAGTCATTCTGTCACACTGCAGGTGCCCTTGAACACCAAACTTCCCAGCAGCCAACTCTGTGCACCAGCCATGAATGTCTACCAAGAAACATTGATTCCTAAAGGCAAAGTTGAACACAAAATAATTTTTTAAAAGATTTGATTGGTTATCTGGTGCCATTTGCCGTAAAGCAGCCTGTCACTTTTCCAGAAATTCATCTGCTTGTTTTGTCTTCTCACTTGAAGTCTTGATCCTGCTTTTTATACATTAAATTATGGCTCTAGTTAATGAACCCTCAGCAGGATGGGATTTACTGATATAATTGGATGAGAATGAAGCAGGCAGTACTGGCTCATTGCAGTGATGGATGGAGCCTGGGTTTATTTATTTCACAGGGTGGTTTTTTTGTTTGCTTGACTCAGAAACTTGTTTTAGCTCTCTCTTCCCTCATCACAACAGTGCTCGGTGTCTTTGTGAACCCACAGTGGACAGTGATGTACCTTGACTCTGGTGTGCACATTTGCATTCCTGTCACTTCCCTGTGCTCCCAGAGGGCTTCCTTTCCAGGAGGGAATCACAAAACAAATGCAGGATTATGGACTGCAACCCTTTCTGCAGATGCTTTTGCATACTCCACTTTTTCTCTGCCTTTTTTGGCCTCCCACTATTTTTTTTTTTTTAATTCAACTGTGTTAGAAAATGAGAGGGGAAATGTTGTTGCTAAGAAAGGAATCGAAATCATTTGGGAATCAAATGATTTCCTCAGTTCAGGGGAAAGACTTAAAGTGTGGATTTTGTCGTTAACTAATACTGTAAGGAAAGCCATGAGGGGGGAAAAAACCAACCTATAGAATGAAAATTTATGACGTTCTTGGTACTGCCTAGGCTGGAGGAACAGGTTAAGTAGATTTTCTTGGGGAGTCTGAACAATCAAGTAGTTTTGCTATCTTCAGATATTGCCTGATATGCTTTAGAAAGGACACTGTGTATTAACAAAAAAACACAATGGGGGTTTTTCACAAAAATGAAAGAGCAGCTGAATGCTGTAGGGGAGCTGCTCCTTCACTCCAGGAATTATTAACACTCAGAGGATACAAAATCAGGTACAAAAAAACCACCTTTCCACGTTCAAAGCCGCTTTATTTATTAACAATCATGGGCGCCTGCAGGGACGAATTTCCCTTGTAGCAAAGGGCTCAAACCAGCGATTTGTGTTTCCCTTGCAGTTTGTCAGGAGCATTTTGTCCCAGGCCCACCTGAGCCCGCTCCCTCTGTACGTCAGCCCCGTGTACTGGGCCTACGACTTCGCCCTCCGCGTTTACCCCGTGCCCGACGTGCTGGTGGTGGCCGATAAATACGACCCCTTCACCGTCACCAACACCGACTGCCTCTGCATCAACCCTGTAAGATCCTCCCTGGGGCCCCCTCCCAAATCAAAACTAGTGTTCCAAAGTGCCTCTCTTGCCATCTGTTCGGTGTTTTACTTACACGAGCGTGGTAGGTAAAATCTGCATTTTTCTTCACAGGGTTCGTTTCCAAGAAGCGGGTTTTCATTCAAGGTGTTCTACCCCTCCAACAAGACAGTTGAAGACAGGTAAATCTACTCACTTTCTCATAAAAAATGAAATATTTTCATATGCTCTGACTTCCTGCCTGTCAGGAGGAACACAGAGAATTGATAATATGAAGAGTGTGGATGTTCTAGCAGTTTAACTGACTTATGGTTCGTACTCAGGCAGGGTAAGAAATCCAAATGCCCAGAACTAAAGTAATAAATTCAGAAATTGCAGTCAAATATCAATGAGGGGAAGCAGAATCTAGAAGTAAAAAGGAAAGATGACTGTACTGTATGATTTTCAACGACTGAAACCTGATTGGGAAACAGATTGGTTTCTGGGGATGATGCTTGTTACATAACTTATTAAATTTAGGAACAAAATTCGTTCGTTTTATGATCATCTTCAAGCCCAGAAGCCACTTTCATTCTTTTATTTCACATGTTTTTAAATCTGTACTCATTCATCCCAACTGTGGCATTCCACTGACTGGAAAAAGACCAGCTGCCACACCAAAAAGTATTAAAAGTATTAAAAGTATCAAAGGCCTTACAGTGGATGAAAATTTGCCTGTTTGAAATGATGATGGTATAACCCAGTAGGAAAAGCATAAATTTATCTTGTCTGATTGTTCCATCCCTTGTTGCAGAAGCCTTCCAAGGGAATTGATAATGGATCAGCCCATGTAACCTTTACTTGAATATAAAAAAATACCATACTTTAGCTCTTTAAACAGTTTTAAAACATTATCAAATCTTCAATAGATCAAGACACAGAATAGTATTGTGAACTATCTTTAGGAAAAAAAAACCCTAAATACTGTTTCTCTTTGGTATTTGCAGCAAGCTTCAGGGGTTCTGAATTTCTGCAAGACAGCAAAAAGTGAGCCCATGTGAAGCCAACTCCAGCTCTTGCTTTTTAGGTGTCTTGATTTTATGATGTATTATGGACTTTTTATAATGTCAAATTTTGTACACAAATAAACTTTTACAGGAAAAGACACTGGTGTCAGTTTAAAGTGTAGAGTCAAGAGTTGAGAATTGGCAAAGCATAAAAGAAGGCAACTGTGTATAAAATAGGAAAGATCTGTCTTTAAAAAAAGAAGTTAAGGACAGGGAGAACTTTGAGATGGACTGAGAGCTGGTTATCTGCAGGAGAATGGGAATGTGGAATAGGATTTGTCTTGGGATGGGAAAGGAATTGTGTTTGGCAGAGCCCTTCCCACTGTGCTGGCCCGGCCTGGGAACAGCTCAGGGGCAGGACCAGAGGGGACAGCAGGATCTGGGCTCTGAGGGGCCATCGGGGTGGGGATGGCAGCTGGGTACAAGAGGCATGAAGTGGTTTGCCAAGGATTTAAACCCAAACCACAGGACAGGCTGCACTGGCACTTCTGAATGTGCTCCCTGAGAGGATGGCACTGCCAGCTCAGTGGGGAGCATGTGCTTTTCAGAGGGATGAGGAGGTGATGGTGGAAAACCAGCCCTCTTGAAGACAACCACGAGGGCCAAGAGCCACCAGGGAGCCACTGAGAGGCGGAGAAAGGCTCAGCAAGGTCCGATGGAGAGCTCAGGGCTGGAGAGGCCTCTACCCTGAAGGCGAGCCCGCCATGTTGTTTGCCGTCTCCATAGCAACTGGCCGGAAGTGCCCGGCGCCGCCATCTTGTTTACCGTCACCACAGCAACGCCCTCCATATTGTTTACCGTTACCACAGCAACGGCCGCCATCTTGCTCAGCACCTCCCCCGTCCGCCCGCCCGGGCCGAGCGGGGCCATGGCGGGCGCGGGGCGGCTGCACGACCTGGACCTCAGCGCCGAGGAAGCGGAGCGCCTCCGACGCGCCTTCCGCGACGAGAAGTTCCGCGCGCTGTTCGCCGAGTACGCGGCGGAGCTCACCGACCCGGAGCAGCGGCGCCTGTACGAGGAGGAGGTGGCGGCGCTGGAGCGGGAGCGCGGCGTGGAGGTGCGCTTCGTGCACCCCTCGCCGGGCTTCGTGCTGCGGACCAGCCAGGAGGGCTCCCGCCGCTGCTACATCAACGTGTGCAGCAACGCGACGCTGGCGGAGCCGCGGGCCCACGCCGAGCGCGGCGGGCAGCGCTGGGCCCTGCCCTACAGCCTGGCGCCGGGCCGCGAGGAGCTGCGCCGCGCCGGCCGCCGCCGCCTGCTCTACGACGTGGTGTTCCACCCGGCCGCGCTGCGCCTGGCGGCCCGCAGCGCCCCGTTCCGCCGCCTGCTCTGCGACACGGCCCTGGACGCCGTGGAGCGGCACTGCGGGGTGCGGCTGGACCGCGCCAACGCCGCCGTGCTGCGGGGCACCCGCTACAAGGGCGTCCCGCAGGCGCCCGTCATCCGCTCCCCGCTGCCCGGCGGCGCCGCGAAGCCGCCCGACGGCGAGGAGTCCCCGCTGCCGCCCTTCCCCTACCCCGCCCCGCCGCCGGCCGACAACGGGGATTCACCGCCCTGCCCCGCCCCGCCCGCCGCCGAGGCCGCCCCGCCCGCCGGCCCCACCACGCCGCGCTGGAGCATCCGCCACCGCTCCTACGTGGACCTGCAGGACTACCGGCACAGCCGCGACTCGGCGCCCAGCCCGGTGCCGCGGGAGCTGGTGGTGACGGTGGAGCTGCCGCTGCTGCGCTCGGCGGCGCAGGCGGAGCTGGAGATCCGCGGGCGGGAGCTGCGGCTCGACTCGCTCCGTCCCGCCTACCGCCTGCGTCTGCGCCTGCCCTACGACGTGGACGAGAGCGGCGGCCGCGCTTCTTTCAGCCGGGCCCAGCGGCAGCTGCAGGTCACGCTGCCCGTGGTGCCGCCGGCCCCCGCCGGCCAGCGCCGCGAAGGGGCCGAGCCCGTGGCACAGGGGCCGGGAGAGCCGGCGGAGGCTGGGCCGGGCGGCGGGGCCGCTCCTCCCCCGGGCCCCGGCGGCGCGGCCTGCAGCACGTGGGGCGGCGGGGACACCGGGGATCCACCCCGGGACCCGCCCACCGAGCCCCCCGCTGAACCACCCGCAGAACAATCCGCTGATTCCCACGCTGAACTCCCCGCAGATCCACCTGCTGAACCCCTTTCCGAACCCCGCGCTGAACGCCCCGCTGGACCACTTTGTGGTCCACCCGCTGACCCACCCACCGAGCCCCGCGCTGAACTCCGCTCTGAGCCCCCCGCTGGACTCCTCGCTGAGCCTGCTGAACCCCTGGTTGGCCCACCTACTGAACCACCCGCAGAACCCCTCACTGAACCATCTACTGAATCCCCCGCTGATCCACTCGCTGAACCCCAAAAAACACCTGTCGAGCCCCTCGCCGACACTGAACCGCCCGCTGAACCCCCCTCTGGACCACCCCCTGAACCACCTCCTGAGCCCCCCAGCCCACCACCAGGCTCTGGCGCTGCTCCCCCCACCGCCAGCCCCGAGCGGGCCGCAGAGCACAGCCCCGGCATGGGCGCCACGTGCCCTCCCTTCCAGGCCCGGCAGGACGAGGCGTCCCTCACCCTGCTCCTGAGAGTGCCCGGCATCCACCCCCGGAGCCTCTGCGGGGACGTGGGCACCCACCACTACAGCCTGCGCTTCTCCAGCGACAGCGGGGCCTTTGCCCTGTTCCTGCAGTTCCCTCCCGCGAACAGGCTCGTGTCCCCCGAGACCGGAGTCAGCGTCTCTGCCCACAACGCGGTTGTGGAGCTGGCCAAGGCCCCCGGCAGCACCGGGCCCTGGCAGAAGTTCAGCTTCGGCCTCGACCCCTCGGCTCTGCAGGTAATGGCTTCAAAGGGGCAGGTTTGGGGTGTCCCCTCCCCAGAGAGCCCTGCTCCGCTGCGGGTGTGGCTGGGGTTTGGCTGCGCTGGTGAGTGATGGCTCGGGAAGGTGCGAGGTTGAGTTCAGAGCTGACGGAGACAGAAGTTGCTTCCTCCGAGAGCTGCTCCCAGATGTGAGTGGAGTGACCTGATCTGTCACCAGGTCACATCATGGAGCTGACACCTTCATCCTTGGGTTTGGAATGACTTCTGCCTCCCACGCCGACTTATTTTTCTAAGGGAAATTGTGGTGATAAGTGTAAACAAAGCCTGCCCTGACCTTTGTGTCCCTTAGCGTTCACTTTTAACCCAAGTAAACTGCTTGTGCAGCTTGTTCACACAAAGAAAGGAGTTGTTTATGGTACACTAGACATACACTCGTGTGCATACACTGTCATGAAGAGTGGGTGGAGGGTCCCTGTGTCTGTATTTTGGGACAGAATTCCCACTTACAGCCATGGGAATACCCATTATTTAGACCAGAGCAGAACAGCAAACAGCAGCTGTGAACTGTCCATTTTGCTGGGATAAACCTTCACCTTCTCTTCTTCCCTGACTGGATATGACTCCAGTTTAGTGGTTTATGATTTTATGGGTCGTTTGGCAGTGATGCTCCCATGGGGGTGGCTGCATCCAGGTGACAGTACCATCTGGGAGCTGGCAGTGTCCCTAAAGGGATGCCCACCTCGTGGCACTCCCACTGTCCAGAGGCACTCACGCAAATTTTGTGGAAAACCACATTATTGTGTAAGCTCAGAGTTTCAAACAGCTTCTCACGAGGAGGGATTAAGGCTGCACAGCTCTTGTGTAACCTTCCAGCCATGGGATTTGAAGTTTGGCTCGATTTTAGAGCAATAAAATCCTTTGCATTTTGGATCATGTGCTGTGGGAGTGCAAGTCCAGAAAGCTGGCAGGCTTCAAGCATGTCCACTGGGATAGACTTGCCTTGGAGCAGCTTAATTGCTCCTTCCCTACCACTAGAAATTGCTTGTGCATGATTTTGAAATATATTTATCCAATTAGTGTTTGTGCAGCTGAAACATCACATTTAATGTCCCATTTAGCAGCTGCACACCTTTTGTAACAGCAATTCCTGTGAAGGAGGAGCTGATCATTTCGGGGAAGTATCAAAGATGATGAATTTATGGAGAACCACCCACGCTGAGCTGTTTGCAGAGCATTTCCTCTGCTTTTAGCGGAGCAGAAGCCTTGCAAGTCTGTGCAAGTGGGGCCACAGAGCCCTCAGCACTGCTGTCGGTCGCTGGAATCGGGCACTGGGTGCTGCTACCACATCAAATAAGCCACTGTGTAAACTGCTGCCTGTTTTCTGCACAGGTCCAGAGCCTGCCCAGGGCAGTGGTGGAGTCCCCATCGCTGGAAGTGATCAAAAACCGTGTGGGTGTGGCACTTGAGGCCGTGGTTTAGTGCTGAACACGGTGGTGCTGCTGGCTTGGTGGCTGCACTAATGATTTGTGTGTGTGCGTTTGTTATTACGACCGGGGGAACATCTTGGGATTGGGAGTTGCTAAAAGGCCACCCAGTAACGACAGCTTGGTTTTGTGAGTTAAAAAAAAACCCAACCCTTGAATGTGCTGATTTTAGTATATGTTGCAAAATGTTTTGGGTGGAGTAGGAGGATGAGATTGGGCATTAGTCACAGGCTTCCCAATCATTCATTCATCCAAAGGATTCTCCTGGAACGGAGTCCTTTTGGACACTGGGCCTGCAAACTGAAGCAGGCGAAAAAAACTGAAGTCATTTGTTCTGTTTGCTTTTTTTTTGACTGATGTTTCCCCGAAGTGCCTGTGCCAGCACTGAGAGCTGCACTCACTCAGAGTGAAGGGAGAAAAATGAATATTTAATTAGAGCCACTATTGTATGATGTTTTCTGGCCATTAACTATTTGCTCCTGGTCGCTTTTTTTCTACTTACGTTGATTTCTTCAATTTGTCTGATGTAATTTTGGGTGGTTTTCTGCTTTGGCTTTTGTTCTATAAATCAGAGCTGTGGTTCTTGCACTGAGACCTGTGAGGACTTGCATCAGTCATTGCAGAGTGCACAAAGCTGTGCCCTGTTTGATCCCTTCAAGGAGCTTTTGATGGCTGAGGGGAGCAGGAACTTTATCCTGCACCCCTCAGTGTGCTTATTCATCATCTCCTCTCCCACAGCAGGGTTGCCAGAGGATAGTGCATGGCAGAGGTGAGCCATGGAATCAGAGAATCTCGGAATGGTTTGGGTTGGAAGGGACCTTAACATCTCATTCCACCCCCTGCCATGGGCAGGGACACCTTCCACTAATCCAGGTTGCTCAGAGCTCCATCCAGTTTGGCCAGTGTTTTTTTTAACAGATATAGAATTCCTACTCTATCGTCTGGGAAGTTGCTTCCTCCTGGAGACCGAGGGTTGCTGTGTTGTTTCATGGAACAAATTCCTCTGGGTTAGTTCAGAACCTGCCCCTCACTGGAAATCTGTCCCACAGTGGCTCTTCCACCCCTGTGAGGCTGCTCCCAATTCTCTCCCATGAACTGCCAGTTTCTTCTTGGGAATTGGTCTGATGCAGACACTGGGAGAAGAATGAGTTGAGCCTCTCCTTGGGACACCACGCTGGAAACAGAATTGCAAGGACAGTTGGAATGTCCCACCCTTGTTTCTTTTCAGGAAATCTTTACAATGCCTTGGTCTTCCCTGGACTTTAACTGTGAGTAGTTTCACTCCTTGGCCAAACCATAATGTCCATGAGCAGTTGGATTTGATGATTGTGGAAGTCTTTCCCATCCTAAATGATTCTGTGACTTGTTGACGAGAATAAAGATTCCACAACTTTGGGCATCGTGGACCAGGGTCACGTTGTTCAGGGGTTTAAAAGTGACCCTTTGTCACTGCCCTGGTGCTCAGTCACTGCACCAGAGACCACACAGCACTGATCCTTCTGCAGGGCTCGCTCCAGGCCCTGTTTTCCCAGGGAATGACCTGAGGAAGCTTCCTGGCTTCCCCCTTGCCAAAATCACTGTCTGCTTGTGCTCCCTCCATTGCGGTTCATCCACTCACACCTCCTCCATCTTTTCCTTAAATCCTTAAATTCAGGCCCGGGAAACTCCTGCATCACAGAGTTGCCCTTCATTTCAAGACAACACAGCCTGGAGAGTAAATGATGAAGAAAGAATGGTTGAGAGCTAAATAACCATTAATAAAATTTGTAAGCCTGCCAGGCAAGGTTTGTGAGAACAACATGTCCCAGTGTGTCCTGGTTAATAGCGGAGCAGGAGTTGGGCAATGATGGAAATCGTGCCTTAGGAAAGCACTGTCTTGGAATGTTTGGCCTCCTGGGGTTAAATGCTCAATTCTTAACAGAAATAAAAAGCAGTTTTCTAGTGGGTGTATTGAACTCCTGAGACTTGGAGGCTCAGTTATCAGAGCGTGTGAAACACGTGTGGTAGCCAATTAATTCTGCCGACACTTTTGGGGTCGGGTGTGCTCATTTTCATGGGATTAGAGAAAGATTGGGTCACGTAGGAATTCCCTTTCATGCTGATCCACACCCTTCCTGCCCCTCACAGCAGCCTGGAGTGAATTAATTCACAGGATGTGTGCTCATTCCCTGGTCAGTGCTTCCCCCTGGGAGCCCCTCACTGGGGAGGGAATCCCAGCCAGACCATCCCTTTCCTCATAAACCCCCATCTCCTCTTAGGGAGAATATTAAAATTTAACTCATGTAAACCCCCTAGGGCTCCAGAGAACAGCAAGGGAGCAGAGGAAAACAGAAATATTTCCTCTGCTTTCCTATGCATTATGGTTTTTTTAACATTTACAGTCTGAAAAATATAATAGTGAACATTCCTGAGGAGTTCATGGTTGGAGCTGAGCGTGAGTTATGCTGTTTGTGAGGTATCCAAACAGGAATTGCACAGCAACATGGAAGCTTTGTTTAACTTCTCTGTGGGTGTTGAGGCCTCCATGGAGGATGTTTTAGATGGGTGTGATTTTTTCTGCTTGTCACAGCCACCAGTGTCTTGTGAAGGAGATGTTTTGGAAGCTCTTGGTGCTGGTAAACTGAGATGTGGACCCATTGGAGTGAGTCCAGAAAAGGCCACTAAACTGATCCCAGGGCTGGAGCCCCTCTGCTCTGGAGCCAGGCTGGGAGAGCTGGGGAAGTTCACTGGAGAAGAGAAGGCTCCAGGGAGACCCAAGAGCCCCTCCCAGGGCCTAAAGGGGCTCCAGGAGAGCTGGAGAGGGACTGGGGACAAGGGATGGAGGGACAGGACACAGGGAATGGCTTCCCACTGGAAAAGTGTAGATTTAGATGGGATATTGGGAAGGAATTCTTGGCTGTGAGGGTGGTGAGACCCTGGCACAGGTTGCCCAGAGAAGCTGTGGCTGCTCCTGGATCCCTGGAAGTGTCCAAGAGCAGTGCCAGGGCTTCACCACCTGCATAGGGAAGAATTTCCTCCCAGTATCCCATCCAAATGTAAATCACCTGTGTGTGGCTGCAGGTGGCAGAGTTCTGTCGCTCCCAGCACAGGGGACACGTGGAAGAGGCTGTGGGCTGGATGTGCTCCTGTGGGCTCACTGCCTGGGGCTGTGCTGGAGCTGTCCCTGTGCTCAGGGATCTCGGAATTTGGGCCCTTGTGGATGTTTTTTTTTTGGTTTGAGAGTTAACCAAGCATGAAACCCAGAGAGCCACGTTGGGAAGTGTAAGGCAGGGATGTTTTACAGCTTTGCCACCTTTCAGGGAGAAACCCATCCCAGAGAGCTCTTTTGCCCTCGTTTCCAAGCTGTTTGGAGTTGTTACATGCTTTCTCTGAAAGGCAGGGTTATAATTTCCAATTTCCAGGCTACTATAAGGACTTAATACAATAGTCAGGGGTCACTTCTAAGAACATGAGGCTGTTGTTTGTAAGCCGACAACGGTTTATTTTTGGTTCAGTTAATTCTGTGCTCATCATTTCAAGACTCTTGGCAAGTTTTTTGGGAGGTCAAGGAAGGACAGAGAAGGAGAACAGAACAAACTTATTATTTCATATTTTTCAGAGTAATCTCCCTTCCCAAGCTGCATTAAGAACCATAATTAGTTTGCTTCTGCTATAAAACAAACTAATTTCTGCATAGCCTTTAATTGGTAGCTGCATTTTGGGAATAACGTGTCTACACAAAACATTTATGTCAGGAAACATTATTAACCTACTGATTAAGCTCATCAAAGCTCCTTTTGAGCTGTTTAATCTTTGCAGTCACGAGCTCCTTGGAAAAGTTTTCACCCCACTGCAGGTACCAAAACTTTGAGCTCCACGTTCTCACGTCGAGCTGGTTTGTGCTGGGACCCTACAAAGCCAGAATCCAGGAGATCCACAGATCCAGGATGTGTCTACCCCACCCCTGGAAGTGTTCAAGGCCAGCTTGGAGCAGCCTGGTGCAGTGGAAGGTGTCCCTGCCCATGGCAGGGGTTTGGAATGAGATGGTTTTTAAGATCCCTTCCCACCCAAAGCATTCCATGATTCTGGGGTTCTCTGAGCGTCTCGTTACAGGAGGCACACAAAGAATTTAAACCTGCTTTTAAAACTGTTGCAGCCTGCGTGGGAGGTAACTCTGGATGGAAATTGGCTCCGAATTTGGCTAAATTAAGGCAGAATAAACCCATCTGATTGCCGAGGGCAGCCGTGAGGGGCCCAGCTTTGCACCGGCGGTGCTGAGAGAGACAAGGATTCCTTTGAATGATGAAGTGCTCTGCAAACCCAAGTCCTTCCTGCTAACGTTTATGTTAATTTGCTCTCAGTTTAGTCACAGGGAAAAATGAATGTGTACCAAACAGCAGATGACAGTATGTGCAGGGAGAAACAAATTAAATTGGAAGTTGCTAAGAGAGGATCATAAATACCAGAAAATAAACAGTTTGAACTGACGAATTATTTTACAGGGTCATTGAAATCATCTGCAGATGGTTGTCCTCTGCTCTGGCTTGGAAGGCAGAGCAGGCTTTAGAATAAATTCCTGAGTAATTTTTTTCCAAGGTCTAGGCTTGGATAACATCTGCAGTAACAGAAATGCCTCGGCGTGTGCTCCACGGGAAGGCAGAGTCTGAGTTACAGTCTCGGGCTAATGATAATCACCTTATTGACAACAAACACATCCGTGGGGCTGTGATTTATGGCAGCCCATGGGGTAGGACTGGGATAAAATGTTAAATGCTTATGGGAGTGCGGTGTTGGGCTGGGATGGAACTTGGTAAAGTTGGTTTGTAGCAATCGGTCAGAATTCACGGAACAACATCATGAGTGGTTACTTTTTATCCTCGTGTTAGGTACTGATTGATCATAGAATACCCTGAGCTGGAAGGGACACACAAGAATCATCCAGTCCAGCTCCTGGCCCTGTCCAGGACACCCCAACAATCCCCCGTCCCTCAGAGCATTGTCCAAATCCTCCTGGAGCTCGTGCCCACTGCCCTGGGGAGCCTGTTCAGTGCCAACCACCCTCTGGGGGGAGAACCTTGTCCTGATAACAGACCTTCCATTCGGTTTTTGTTTTTAACAGTATTTACTGGGAAGAAAACAAATTCTTTTGCTTTTAATGGGGGAGAAAATCTTCAGAAAGATTTCTTGGGTTTGTTGCCAAAATGCCAAGTCCTGATTGTGTCGGGGAGGAGGAACGGCTGTCCCTCCCTCGGGCAACCACATGTGCCAGATGCAGCTTCAGAGGGAAAATAGACTGTTTTCCCCATTTTGTGTAGGAAATGTAGGATGGATGGGGCTTGGAACAAGCTGGTCTAGTGGAAGGGCATCCCTGTTTCTATACTCTGACACCTTCTCTTGGACTCTGCAGAGTATTCCCACAATCCTGGAGCGCTGGCAGGTCCCTCTCTGGCAGGTAGGAAAGGATATAACATTAGGGAATAAGTATTTTAGGCTTTGCAGGCAGAAATGCAAGGAGTAGGTTATGGGAGGGGTTTGTGTCAGGGCAGCCCTGCTGTACTTTAATCTTCCCCCAAACAGTCTCAGCATCCAAAGCTGGCTCTTTGCCTGGATTGTAATCTTTCTGGATAGAAAATGAATTCAATCCTCTGGCTTGGAACACCAACAATATCTATGTTATGACTTTCCATATTGTGATTTCTAATTTAAAGAGTGGAAAAAATAGGACGCTGGGTTATTTTTCCTATAGTGTTTGTTTTTTTGTTTTCCAAGATGACAGTTAAATTTTGTACCTCAGACACAATGTGACATCTGGCTGTGCATAAGGCTACGTCCACAGGGGGCCAAAAATGTGCAGAATTGCCTTTTTGCTTCTCAGTCTGCAAGATGTCAGTGATAATTGAATTTAACTTTCATTGGATTGACAAGAGGGTTGAACTGGACCGAGAAATTTAAAAGTGTGACTTAAAGTGGAAGGTTTGCAACTTCTCCCTGTTACTTCCAATTAAACAGGAAGGGTAATTCCCAGAGCATAAACCACTCCTCTCGGTCAGATCAGTTTTACTGTGCCAAAGTCTCTCCTTACCCTCAGCCCACACAGCTGATTTAGGAACAACACAAGCACAGGGAAAGCTCTGCAGTTCTTATGAAACAACCCCTCCAGGACGTGTTTTAGGACCTTTAATTACCTGTACCTGATTTAAACCTTTAAACCTGTAGCAACACGTTGCACATTGTTTATGAACTGCATACAACAGCCTGGAAACACCCCCCGGGCTGTCCCTCTGCCTCTGGAGAAACCTCTCCGTGTTTTCCAACTGCCTTGTCTGGTGGAGATCTGAGCAGCCCGCGTGGCTGGGTGTGAAATGGATACAGCCCTGCGTGTTCCACATCTGATCCTGCAGCTGAGGGTTCACCCACCCCGCAGGGCCGCTCCCAGGAGGTGTTTGTGTTTCCCTGAGCACATGGAACAAACCCATAACAGTGTCACCCCTCCCTGCTGTTCAGCCAGGTGAGGACAGTGGAACCATGTTGGTGCAGATTATCCCTCAGATAGAGTCTAAATCTATATATTAATCATGTGTCCAGAGAGAGAAAGCATTTTCCTGTTCTGTTTGGTGTGATGCTGATCTGGGATTTCAATGCATGTGAGGTAAGCTCTGCTCTTCATTCATTTCACCTCTTCACTCTCAATGTCTGGCTCAGGATTTCTCTGTCAAGGCATGACTGAGTTGTGAAACTTGTGAACTGTCCTGGCTTTCTTTGCAGGGAGTTTTTAGCCCAAGTATCACTAAAGTTTAGCACAAAAAGAACATAACCTGCTCTTTCTCTCTCTTTTTTTTTTTTTTTCTCTAGGAAAGATTGTTTGTCACTGAAGAGAACGTTGATGGATTTCTAGGCACTGCTTTATGCCCTTCCTCTTGCTCCCAATCAGCACTGGAAAGCCAGCCATTAATTGAAGTGCTGGATGTTTCTGAGGACAGAATTCAAATCAGGGTGGAGGTGAGGATCTCTGGGAGCAGCACACGCTCTGACTGATTTATGTTCTTGTGCAAGATGCTATCAAATCCCACTGATACCGCTCTGTTCCTCTTTTGTCTTCATAGAGTGGGAAAAACCGGGAGTGGGGTTATTTACAAGTAGAAATGTCAATTTTCAGAAACACGAGTTGTGTTTGTGCCATTTAACGTCACCAAGTGATTGAAACCTCCTATATTTCACTTGGAAAGAAGGAGAACTGTGCTCCAGTCTTTAAAGAGAGTGCTTTCTCCTTGCAGGAACACTTCACTCTCTCAGCCTTGTACAGGTAGAGAAATCCTAGAGGATTTTATCTGGGAAGAATCATGTCTCCTTATCTTTATTCAGTCCAAGTATTTGAATACTTGCAGGGTTCCTGTTGTGTAGATAATTAAACATGAGGCTATTAATCTTAAACACTGGTCTCAAATTCACATTTGTAATGTTTCAGGCCTCATTCAGGCCACTCTTCTTCCTCAGCCACCCTGTCTAGATAGAGGATGTAAGATGGGCTGTTTCTGGGATCTGCCTCGGGATTCAAATGTCCTCCTGCTGCAAAACAGGTGGACAAAAGAAGAAACCAAAATGTTAGTTTTGCAAAGAGCCCCCTCGACATTAACTGTGACTTCTTGGCATTTACTGCATCAGAAATGCAGATTAAGCTTTTCTTAAAGGAAACATGAAATGCAGAGTCAGTCACGTCACTGCTGTGGCCATGACCTCTGCAGGCAGAGTTAATGTGTAGGTGGCATGTTTGGACACAAGTTCAGATAAAGCACATGGCCTTTGGAACCAGGCTGGAGGCCCCAGGAGTTTTTCAAAGGTAGTGGCTTTACTTGCCAGGCCTAACTTGTGCAGCTAGTGTGGATTGTACATAAAAATCTAAAATTCAAAGTGTTGGAGAGCAGATCTGTGTGTTTTGGAGCCGAAGAAAAGGCAGCTGGGATATCTTAAATCATCACACTCCTGGTCCTGTGCCGGGCTGGGAGTTGATGAGCCTTGTGGGTTCCTTCGAACTCCGGGTGTTCCATTATTCTGTGTCTGTGTGGGAGAATCATCCAGTTTATGGAAGGACTTACTGCTCTTGCTTTTGTCTCTTGCTGGAGTGAGCAGAGGTTTGGGGTTGGAGAGGGCTGGGTGTGTGGGAGAGCAGCTCTGTCTTTGAATCCATGAATCCAGCTGCTCCTGGACAGATTCCTGCTGATCCTGACTGCCCACTGATAGGGACCTATGAGCTACCAGCAGTTTTTTGCAAAAACACTCAGTAATGTTGAAAATGGGGAAAACTGCCATTTTTACAACACCTCTCTCAGCTCCTCCTCTCCTGAGGCAAACCACGGCAATTCCTGGATTAGCTCCACAGGCCGGTAATTTCCCTAATTGCAAGGTTCAAACACACTCCTGCAATGAGAGTTCAGATCCCTTGGCTGATTTTGTGGCCCCTGAGATCTGGAAAACAGGCTGGGTGTGGTGAGAGGCCTTTCCTAATCCTGCAGCCAGGGTGGCTGTGGTGCTTGGCCGCTGCCCAGCAGCTTTTCCTAGAGCAGAGGAAACCCTCGGGAAGCCGACAACCTCCCTGCCACTCATTCCCACGCGCCACACGAGAGCAGGAACACCCCAGCACTGGGCTCGCTTGGCTCCCTGGGATAGAATCACAGAATCACAGGATGGTTTGGGTTGGAAGGGACCTTAAAGATGATCCAGTTGTGTCCCTCTGCCACGGGCATTCCACCAGTCCAAGCTGCTGAGCTGTTGGAGGAACAAGTGTCTGTGCTGCCTTTGCAGCAGTTTTGTGTGCGTGGTTTGTTTCAGCTGCAAAATAACTCATTTATTTCCTTGACAGCCACAGGACCGTGATGGAGCAGGAACACTTGGCAGCTCAGGGGGAGACCTTGCTGGAAAGACCAACGGTGACTACCCCAAAACAAAGGCACAAACAAACTGTCCCGCAGCTGATGGAGAACGTGCTGCAGGAGCCAACACGGCTCCCACAGCTGAAACAATAGGAAAAGTAGGTTGTAGTTCACACCATTGTTTGGAGCACCAACCTCCTGACACCAGTTCTGTGATCACTGGGGAATCTGGGAGAAGGGAACCAGATTTGGAAAACGCTGCCGCAGCCACAGCCCCGGGCTCTGGAAAACAAGGAGAGCTTCTGCCAGGGGGGCAGGAGGCAGTGGAAGGGCACGAGGAGGCTGCACCCCCAGGGCTGGACAGCAGGGCAGCCTCCCCTGTCCTACGAGAAGTGAACCTTGAGGACGGGAGCGAGCGGGTCCTCAGGGATCACGTAACGCGCTGCCCCGTCGTGTTTCAGAATTCCTTGCTGTATGAGTTGGATTAGCTTAATGGCTTTAGGATTTCCTTCTGTTGTTTGATGCTTACTGTGACTTCCACGTGCTGGTGGGTGGCTTCAGGGCTCGGAGGTCCCCACTGGAACCCTTTCAACATCAAAACCTTACGTTGTTACAGTTTTTGCAGTTAATAGATCTGTTTTCTAATCACATGTATGGGCTGAAGTAGTTTTATTACAGGAAAGATGCAGTTGGAAGTGAATCCGAGCTCCTGGAAGAAAATGTATCTTCATTGTTTACATAACTTTTTTATTCTCTTGCCAGATTTCAGGGATTATTTGTATATATCCTTGGTTTAATGGCTCCCTTGGGAATTGAGCCGTATTCATCATTTTCAAACCTTTCATTTTGTGATAACTGCAGGATTAGACTCGCAGTGATTTTTAGCAATCAAATGAAATTTCTAATTACCCGGAGAAGTTCTAATTAGTCTCCTAGAAATAATCAACATCTACACCCTGTATTCCATCCTAGTGCAGTGCTTTGCAGCACCCAGCCGTCCCCCAGCTGAACAAATTCCACTGCACAGTAACGACATCCTCTGGGTGCACGTGTGCTCTGAAGTATTTACAGTTTGGGAGATGGATTCCCTTTATCCAGATTTATGTTCAGTTTCCCTCGAGTTTCCATGTGCTTGTTGCTGGTTCACCTCTACAGTGCCATAACCGAAAGAACACGTCTAATAATAAACTTCCAGTTCCCTTTCTCACTGGTGCTGAACCAACTTCTGTTTTTGTTTGAGCTCTACAAGACACAGAGGTGCTTGAGAGGAAAGTTAAATCTGCCTCATTTCAGGGCTGCTCTGGAATTACTGTCACATTTCTGTGAGAAACACGAGTGTGTGCAGTGGGGTGTGTGGTGTGAGTGTGGCTCTGAGTTCAGTGAAGCCACAGCTGCCAAAAACACCTGCCCTGCCCTCCAGGGTAGCACATCCGCTGGAGGAGGGCGAGGGCTTTGCTGGGTTAAGTTGAACCCCCCTCAGCTTTTTTTGGGGAGGTCTCTTGATGGCTGAGGCATCAGCACAGCTTCATCATCACCCCTGACCCGGGGAAACAACACAGAGCAAGTACACTGCAAAATTGCAGTAGTTAAATAACCCTGGGAAAAAAAAAAAAAAAAAGACATTTTGTTTCTCTGACACACTTCCCTGTTCTACAAAAAGCTGCCGAGATGCTCCTGTTCCCAGCTGTGCTTCAGAGAGCGGCACCACGAAAGCAGCTGGAGTGACAACAAACAGCTCTGTAGCTCCCAACTGCAGATCAGCCCAGATCACAGCAGCACTTTTCACTCGTGGTTTTACACGGCTAATCTGAAAACAACTTTTTTTTTTAAATTTTTCTTAATCCAAACAAAAGCAGCGTTGTGCCACCAATTTGCTACTTTTTTTCTGCCTCAATTAATGAGTATCATTAAAAATGTAATGAAGTTAGATGCACACTGCTAGAAGGGGTCATGGCATGTGCTCAGCCCTCAGGATTAAAGAGAAACTCCCCTCCCACCCCATCCTGACTTTTTAGGAACACGAGATGACATCATCCTTTGGGTGACAATCAAGGACTTCTCTGCAATTACAAAACAAACTGACTTTTTATTTCGGCAGAACTAAAAAAATCATATATTTATCTACATTGTAGTAAAAACAATGAATTTATTTTTTCCATCCTTCATATATTTCATCGACACGTCATCGCAAACCGAGCCGGGACACGGGGATCGGGCATGAGGTGACCCCGGGTGGGACAGCACGCGAGGGCCCCCCTGGCGCGGTGTCACGGGCACCACCAGAGCTTCAGCACCAAAAAAGATGCACTTAAAAAGTGTTCTCCTCCTTCTCCTCCTCCTCCCAGCAAACTCAGCAGCAGGTCACTTTTTGCGTAGGGGCTGCAGCACATCACCCATTTCCAAAACGTGGTTGCCAAACATGAGAGATTACTATTTTGGGACACCTTTAAACAAGAATGTTTATTCATATTAAAGCAGAAACCAACTCATAAATGCTGTTTATACACGTGTGTGCCTGTAAAAGACACGATGGGACAACTCAAGAAGAAAAGAAGGCTGCAAGAGAAGGATCCTCACTGGAGTCTGCGGTAACTCTTACAGAGTTCGTGGTCCCTGATGTCTCCCCACCCTCCGTTTTTGACATGAGGGGACAGGGGAGCCATGGAGTACCTTTTACTGACGCTCATCGTCTCGGGAAACAGGTACTGTTGGTTGCTGTTCAAGAGAGAGTCGATTTTGGCACTCTGGGTGGACGGTCTGCAGGATTTCTTGTGGTGCATGCCACAGTCCCCCGTGTGAAAAACCCTGGGGATCTCGGGAACCAGCACTTTCCAGAACTTTGGAAGACAAGAGACAGTCAAGTGCTGCAGAGTCCAGTCCCAGTTGTAGTCATCGTAGGTGCAGAAGGCGTCCGTGCACTCGATGAGCTTCTGGTAGGTGTCTCTGCCGAAGGCCATGCCCATGTTGTGCTCCGTGGACTTCCACGTCTTCATCTCCACCTTGTCGGCGCGGCCGGCGAAGCCGCCCCGCACGGGGCTGTAGGTGCCCAGGGACACCACCTGGCACTCGGGGCACTCGCGCTGGCGCAGGGCCCAGAGCTGCTTGAGGACGTGGTAGAAGTCGGGGGCCAGGTAATGATCCTCCTCCAGGAAGAGCACGGGCCCCGCGTGCTCCCGCAGCGCCCGCACGCGCTCCCACACGAAGTGCAGCTTCCACCACCAGTGGTGCTTGGTCTGCGCGAACCGCGCCTCGCGGTAGTGCCCGAACGAGTCCGGGAACTCGGCGTTGATGCAGCCCAGGCGCAGCGCCGCCGCCTTGCCCACGTCGCGGGGGCAGTCGCGGGGGTCGTGGCCCGGGAACTCGCGCGGGTACAGCTGGATGCTGAACGGGAAGAACACCTGGAGCACGGCGCAGAAGTCCACGCGGGCCGCCAGCCGGTTGAGCTCCTCGGCCCACAGGTCGTGGCTGAGCACCAGCAGCACGTTCTCCACGCCCGCCGCCCGCCGCAGCGACTCGAGCAGCAGCCGCAGGTGCTCGGCGCGGTCGTGCACCTGCACCACGAGCACCAGGTCGGGCCGCGCCGGGAAGCGCTCGGCGTTGCGCACCGGCTGGTCGAAGTTGAGGCGGTACACGAGCGAGCGGTAACTCAGCGTCGCGTTGTCGGACAGCACCGCGGCCGCCACCGCGGCGGCAGCGGCGGAGGTGTTGGCGGGGCGGCGCGGCGGCACCGGCGGGGGGGCCGGGCTCGCTGACCCGCGGCGGCTCCCCGGTGCTACCGGGACCGCCCCGCTGCTGCTGCTGCTGCTGCTGCCGCCGCCGGCCGCCGCCGCCGCCGGTGCCCCAGAGCGCCAGCGCGCAGAGCGCCAGCGCGGCGGCCAGCAGCAGCACCTTGCGCTTGTAGACGCGCAGCCGCATGTTCCCGGCGGCGGCGGCCCCGCTCCCGCCGCTCCCGCCGCCGCCGCCGCCGCCGCTCCCGCTCCCAGCGCGCGCGCGCCGCCGCCGCCCCGCGCGCACACGTTCCCGCGCACCGTTGGCCGCCGCCGCGCCCGCCCCCGCCCCGCCATTGGCCGCCGCAGCCGTCAATCAACCCGGCGCGAGCTTCCGCCGCGCCGCGCTCCGATTGGGCGGCGCCGGAAAAGGGGGCGGGGCCAGGGCCGTGAGGGCGGAGCTGGAAGGGGGGGGAGAGAAATCCTGAGGGATCGGGGGGGAACAGCGGGAATAACTCTGGAAAAACCGGCCTGCACACAGAGAGGGATCCACGAGAGCGGTTCATTCTGTGCTTGGAAAATAACCCAGGAAAAATCGTGCTGCAGTGGCGAGCATAAGGTGAGAAAACGGTTCCAGGACAGCGGGAACGAGATAAAATCATTCCGGGATTCTAAAAATAAGATAAAATCACTGCAGGATTGAAAGAATAAGATTAAAATCCTTGTGGGATCAGAAAGAATAAGGTAAAACAATTGTAGGTTTGAAAGATTAAGAGAATAAAAACGTTGTAGCATGGCAAGAATTGAGACATTCGCTCCAGGGTTGCAAGGCTAAGATTAATTAATTCTAGAATCGCAAGTATAAAACGATCCAGAGCTTTCAAGAGTAACACACAAGAGTAAAATAATTCCAGAATTGCAAGAACAAGGTAAGGAAACCATCCTGGATTGGCAAGAATAATATACAGTAAAATAAAATAACTCTGGAATTGTAAGAACAAGGTGAGAAAATCCTCCTGGGTCGGGAAGAATAATGTATGACATAAAAAGGAGTGAGGGCTGTGAGCCAGGGATCAGCTTGGGGATGACATTCCCTTCAGGGGAGCACAGCTGGTTCCCTTGGGAGGGTCCCACGGGTGGGTTCCTCCTCTCCCAGCACCCCTGGCTTCCCGGGAGGCTCCAGCCCTCTGCACAGACCCCCCACATCTGCTAATGAAACTCCTGAGGAGTCCCACGGGGGGCTGAATTTCTGTGCCTCCTCCACCTTCCTCCTCTTTAGTCACGTGCTCCACCTTAAAGGGGCTTTTCCACCGGAGTGATTTCCAGGTTGCTGCAGTCAGAGCTCTCTCCCTTCACAGCAGCATCAGGGGTTAGCTCTGGTGGGCATCTGGTTAGATGGAAGTAATTCATGGAATCATTAAAATCGGGAAGAACCACTAAGATCACTGACTCCAACCATTCCCCCAGCACTGCCAAGGCCACCACTGACCCCTGTCCCCAAGTGCCACATCCACAGGGCTCTGAAATCCCTCCAGGGGTGGGGACTCCACCACCTCCCTGATGGAGGCAGCCTGATCCAATGCTGACCACCCTCTCCCTGAAGGAATTTTCCCTAATATCCAATCTAAACCTCCCCTGGTAGGCACTGAACACCACTTCAAAAATAACTGCACCCTGCTCCCTCCAAGCCATCACAACTCCTGGGGATGCCTGAAAGCTCCTCAAGGGACTTTTGTTCCAACCCCAGCCATGGACCAGACACGAAATTAGGGCCTGTGGAAACTCCCAGTTATTTCAGTGACTTCACCAGGGAAATCCCCGGAATAAAAACTCCTCAGAGAAATCACAAACCACAAGTCAGTAGAAGGGTTTCAAAATTTAATAAGTCGACAGAGTGAAACAAATTCAAGAACTGTTAAAACAAAAGAGTTAAGGAACAAAGTTTCTGGCACGTACTTAGAAAAAAAGACGTTTCTCGTATCACAAAGAGATAACCCCCCCCCAAAAAAAACAAAACCATTTGCTCTGGTAAAAAAACCAGCAATGCTGGTCCCTGCTGGAAGTGGGAATGTTGTAAGAGAACCTTTTAAAAAAAAAGCAGCACCTGGAATTACGTAACCGGCTTGGGCCGTAATTTCTCCTCCACATAGAGAGAAGTCGGGAAGAGCCGAGCCCAGCGCCGCAGCCAACGCTGTCACTGTGCACGGGCAGAGCTCAGGGCATCCCCTGGAGTAAGGCTGGGATGAGCTCCCGACAAGGAACCCCTTACTCCACAAAACTGGGAAATCTGCCGGGACGCTCCGAGCAAAGCCTGGGAACGGGAGAAGGAAAGCAGATGACGCTGCAGGGAAGGAGCGCTGGAGCTCCGCGTGCTCGGCATTCCCAGCGCACGGACATCCCGGGGGGAGGGAGAGGCAGGCACAGGGTCCCCTCGCTGCCAGAGGGAGCTTGGATCTCTGCTGGGCAGGGCTCTGGCACCCAGCAGTGTCACCTGTTGCTCTGGAGGTGCCTGTCCAGGAACTGGGAATAGCAGTGCAGGGAGCAGAAGTAGCAGAGGACGGGAGCGTCCGTCCCTCCCATGTTGTCCACGAGCACCACGGTGTGAGCCACGTGGTGCAGGTTCATGGTCACCGTGATCTGGATGAAGCTGCTCAGGCAGGCACTTCCACACTGGCAGGTTTTAGCCACTGCCAGATCCTCACAAAGGTGGGAAGGGAGGAGGTGGCAGCCGTAAGGGATTCTGTGGAACGAGAGGAGCGGGTGTGAATTCACTGCAAAAGGAACCCGTGTCACTCAAAAACAGTGACAGGCCACAGGCACCAGCTGGCAGAGACGACATTCCGAGAGCACAGACACGGAAAATCTGGGACTTTGGACTGGTTAGGAATTAAATACCACTTCCCAGGACAGTCACTGAAAACACGCACCCCCTTTACCCAGCCCTGAGTGCCAAGGAACTGAACTCCCTGGAGACACCAAACAGGGAGACAACAGCACTCCTGACAGCCTGGGGCGCAGCCAGTCAGGGAATTAAAGAGAAGATTAGGAATGAGAATTAGGGAATTAAAAGGAGATTAAGAACAATGAGACAACTGGGCACATTCTGTCCTTCCCTCACACCACCCAGGGAGCTCACTGTGTTCCACCCTTGGCCTCACACAGCACCCCCAGTTTACTCCTCCCTCTCTTCCACAACGTGGTAGTAACATGAAAAAAACACAACTCAGAGAAAAGAGGAGACAAAATGAGCCTTTTTGCAGCAGGGCTACACTGCAGGCCTTAAAGGAAGGATCTCCTGACACACACAGCTCTCTCCATCCGCCGTGTCAGCAATGACATCCACAGTCAGGAGCAGGAATTGCTTCCTCCTAAATCCACAGCAGAGCAGGGGCGAGTTTGGGGTGCAAAAGAAATGATTCCCCTCAAGTATTTTGCCAAGTTCAGTTGGAGTGTGGGTATCAGCAGTGCCCAGCAGGCACTCCAGGCTCAGATCCCACTGACTCACATCCTGCCTACACCTCCACATTCCCAATCCTCTCCCCATACCAGCTAAGACTCCTGAGGGTTTGGGTTTTTTTCACCACCTTAATTTCTGGACACCCTTTTTTCCCGTCAGGAAGAGCATAATCACAGCTTTGGTACTTTCCCAGAATGGAGAACTGATTTCCAAACATTTATTCTGCATCTTCCCTCCTTCTGTTTTGTCCCTTTCTCAAGGTTTTCACAGGAACTGAGCACTAAAACCTGACCAGTGCTGAGGGATTGAATCCTCCAGAAAACCTCTGAAACAGCCTTAACATTTACTTCAAACCCACTGCAATTTATATAACCTTGGGAAAAGGAGACACGTGGGGGTTAGTTATAAAATCAGCAAGGTCAGAAGTGGGTGTTTTTGGCCCAGAACATGTGGTGGCTCAGCTCCCTTCAGGGTGTGCCCGTGGATGCCTTTGGTGCAGATTTCTGTGCAATCATCCCGAGTTTGTGGGGCACTCCCCACCCCCAAGGCAGGAGCGGGCACAGGATGGAGATCAGGGACACTTCAAGCCTGTCTCTCACCCTCCTCTGTGCCAAATTCCCGTCTTTGTGCTCCCTTTCCACCCAGAACAGGGTGGGAGCAGCAGCAGATGGCACCTGAAGGTTCCCGGTATGCCAAGGATCGTGGGTGGAGCTGTGGAAGTGGTGTGAGGGAAGAGGAGGGAGCTGATCACAAACAGCAGCCCAGCAGGGTGATATTTACTTGGTGAAATAATAATTCCACAATTAGCTCAGACCTGGGATTCTCTGAATAAGCCAGAACACCCTCACTCCGACACCAAAGGAAATCAGGAGCTTCAGGAGAACCTCTGGCAGGGAGAAGCCAGCAGCAGAAGTGGGTCGGGGCTGGAGAACTGATTCCCTTCCCCAGAGCTGGCCAAAAATACTCTGTTTATCCCCCTCTGGTGGGGTAAAAACATTTCAACCCCTAGCTTTGTCTGAATGCTTCCAAAGCACCAACCTCCTGCCTTGCCCTGACGATTTCCCAAGTGGAATTCGGAGGAACTCGAACCTTGTGAATCGGAACAGGTGACGAGCAATAGGCACCGAGGGGAAAAGGAACAGCCAAGCGAGGAAAGGTGGGAGTGGCCAGGAGGGAAGGGAGCAGGGCAGGGTGTGCCCCTCACCTGTGATTGATGGTGGCTCTGGCGGCACACTCCGACAGGGTCAGCGGGATTTTCAGCTGGATGTTGGGCGCCAGCGGGTTGGGCTGCTCGAAAGGGTTCCCGAAGAGGTCCAGGCTGTCCAGGCAGAGCCTCCTGAAGTCGCTGGGCAGGAAGGGCAGGCGGTTGCGCGCGGCCGACAGGAAGCGCAGGCGGCCGAGCTGCCCCACCCTGCAGGGCAGGCGCTCCAGCTCGTTGTCGTCCAGCTTGAGGCTGAGCAGCCCCCGCAGCTCGCAGAGCTCCAGCGGCAGCGCCCGCAGCCGGTTCTGGCTCAGGTCCAGGCTCTGCAGGGATCTCCGCAGGCCGGAGCGGCACAGGGCCCCGCCGAAGGACTCCAGGTGGTTGTCGTGCAGGTCCAGCTCCTGCAGGCACGCCAGCTCCCCCAGGGTCGCCGGCAGCTGCTTGAGGTGGTTGTGGCTCAGGTCGAGCTTCCGCAGCTTCCTCAGGCACAGCACGCGCGTGTCCACCCGGGCCAGCTTGCAGTAGGAGGCCTGCAGGTGCTCCAGGGAGTGAGGGAAGCTCTTGGTGAGGGGGTAGTCCCTCCTGGAAGTTATGATCATTTTCGTCTTGGGTTTCTCCACTTCCGAGTTCTTTGCCGGGACCAGGGTGGAGAGGGGCAGAGCTCCGGCGTCGCTGCCTTGGTGAGCCAGTCTCAGGGCTGCCAGGAAGGTCTTCAGATCGCTGGCATTGGCCTGCAGGAGAACACAGAGGGGCAGGGACAAGCTCATTATCCCCCGGCTGGTTTGTTCCTGACACTTCCCTGCGTGCATCAGGAGCTGCTAACTCAGCTAGGCAGTGGAACGGCACAGGGAACGGCCCTGTTTGCAGTGTTTAAGAACAAGCATGACCTCTTGGAATAATCCAGATCAAACTGGAGATCCTGTCCCAGGAGAGGGACAAAGCACTGAATTCACAGCTGAAAATAAAGCACTGAAAAAAGACCCGACGCGCTGGGATCTCCCTAAAATGCAACAGGATACAGGGACAGTTGTGAGCACACACGGGGAAATCAGAGCACTAAAAGCCAAGAGAGTGTCTGGAAGTTGCTAGGAAGGAAAAGGATGGAAGCTGGGGTTAAATCCAACAAAAGGAAGGTGGAAGGCTTCAAGGCAGGTTAAATCAGTGCTTCTGGCCACACACAGCTCCGGTTGTGCCAGCAGGGAAATTATTTGTGAATAACTGACTCCAAGCCCTGTCCAACCTGGCCTTGGACACTTCCAGGGATGCAGGAGCAGCCACCTGGGCTAGTGGAAGGTGTCCCTGCCCACGGCAGGGGGTGGAAGGAGATGGGATTTAATATCCCTCGCCGTCCCGCGGTGCCAGAGCCCCCCGGGTCCCCCCGGTCCCGCACGCACCTTGCTGAGGCGCAGATCCACCGCGGGCTCCCGCAGCCGCACCGTGGCCTTTCCCTGCTCCACGAACCTGGTGAAGAGCCGCTCCACGTTCTGCTGCACCTGCGGGCACAGCCGGTCAGCGCCCGCCCCGGGCACTCCCCGCGCCCCGCCCGGCCCGGCCCCGCCGTGCCCACCTTGTAGCGGGCCCCGGAGCGGTCCCGCGCCGTGCACACCATCAGGTAAACACCGGCACCGCCACCGCCACCGGCACCGCCACCGGCACCGCCCGGCGGCCGCCCCAGCGACACCAGCGCCCGCGCCGCGCGGCCGCGGCCCTGCAGCCCGCAGCTGGGCAGCAGCTGGCTCAGCACCTCCACCTCGCACTGCAGCCGCATCCCCGATCCCGGCCCCGATCCCGGTCCCGATCCCGGCCCCGATCCCAGCCCCGGCCCCGATCCCAGCCCCGATCCCGGCCCCGGTCCCGGTCCCGGCACCGCCACCGGCCCGCGCAGGGCGGGCGGAGCCGCGGGGCCCTCCCGCGCTGTCCGCGCACAGCTGCCCGCCGCTCTGCCTGCCCGCCCGCCGCGATGCCGCCCGCCGCGGTGTGTGCCCGCCGGGATCGCCGCCCCGCTCCCGCTGAGGGGCCGGGGACACTCGGCGGGCGGGCCGGGGGGGCGGGAGGGAAGAGCGGCGGCACCGGCAGCACCGGCGGCACCGGCGGCATCGGCAGCACCGGCAGCGCGAGGCCGACCGACCGCGGGGCCCTCGGCGCGGAGCCCTCAGTGCGGGGCGATGGCGCCCCCTCTCGGGGGCGGGTGGCGCGGGTTGGCGGGAACCGTTCGGGGAGGGGAGAGGGAGGGGACGGGACACGGGAGGGTGTGAGGGGATACGGGGGTGTGAGGGGATACAGGGTGTGAGGGGATACGGGGGTGTGAGGGGACATGGGGGAGCTGAGGGGACATGGAGGGTGTGAGGGGACATGGAGAGTGTGAGGGGACATGGGGGAGCTGAGGGGATATGGGGGAGCTGAGGGGACATGGGGGAGCTGAGGGGACATGGAGGGTGTGAGGGGACATGGGGGAGCTGAGGGGACATGGGGGAGTTGAGGGGACATGGAGGGTGTGAGGGGACATGGGGGCTGTGAGGAGATATGGGGGCTGTGAGGGATATGGGTTTGAGGGGACATGAGGGTGTGTGAGGGGACATAGAGTATGTGAGGGAATAGGGGGGGGGTGAGGGGATATAATAGGTTTGTGACAGGCAGCGGTTATGAAGAGACACGGGGGTGATGGGATATGGGTGGTGTGAGGGGATATGGGTGGTGTGAAGGAATATAGGGGGTGTGAGGGGACACGGGGGAGCTGAGGGATAGTGGGTGTGCTGACAGCTCAGGTTTGACAGGAGGAAGCGGCGAGAGCGGTGTCAGTGTAGCCGTGTCCGCCCTGAGGGGACGAGGAGGGTGCGGCCATCGCCCCGCCCCGAGCCGGCTCCCACCGCGCTAACCAGGGCTGGGAGGGAAAACAAATAAACCGGTGACCCCTTTCGGCGCCGTTTCACCACGTTTATAATTTAACGACAGGATTCTGGCTTGGCGATTGGCGTCGCGCTGTGAGTTTTTTCCCGAGCGCTGTGTCTGCGGTGCCGCGCGGGCCCAGGGGGAGGCGCTGTGTGCGGGGGTAAAAGGGGGTGTTTGTGGGGTAGAGCGGGGCGTGTGTGGGGTAAAAGGGGGTGTGCGGGGCAAAAGGGAGCCCGCGTGTCTCTGTGTTGCCCAGGCTACGCTGCAGGGCCTGTTCACAGGCGCGATCCCGCTACTGACCGCCACGGGAGCTTTGACCTGCTCCGTCTCCGACCTGGGCCGGTTCACCCCTCCTTAGTCAACCTGGTGTCCCGCAGCTCCCCGCGGGTCACCATATTGATGGCGGCCTTAGCTTGGACGCCCGCTCGGCACAGCGCCCTGCAGCCCAGAACTCCTGGGCTCAAGCGATCCGTCGGGCTCAGCCTCCCCGGCAGCTGGGACTACAGGCGCGCGCCACCGCGCCCGGCGATGGAGCGGCTGAAACGGAGACCTTACAGAGCTGACGCTCGCCCGGTACCGCCCCCGGCCCGGCCCCCGGCCCTCCCACTGACACCGCTCCTCCTCCTCTTCCTCCTCCTCGTGCTCCTCCTCTCCCTTCGGCCCCTTCTCCCTGTCCTTCGCCTTCCATCCTTTTCTCCTTCTTTTCCCCCTTCTCCTTCCCCCTTTCCATTCCCCTTTTCCCCCTCCTTTCTTCTTTCCCTTATCCCTTTCCCCCTCCCCTTTTTCCCTTTCGCCCCTTCCCTTTTTCCCTTCCCCCCCCTTTTTAACTTTCTCCCTCCCCTTTTGCCCTTTTCCTTTCCCCATTCTCATTCCCCCCTTCCCATTCACCTTTTTCCCCTTCCCCTCCTTCTCCCTTTCCCTTTCCCTTTGCCTTTCCTTTCCTCTTTCTCCTTCCCCCTTCCACCTGTCTATTTTCCCTTTGCCCTTCCTGTTTTCCCTCACACTTCCTCCTTCCACCTTTTCCTTCTTCTTTCCCCTTTCCCTTTCATTTCCCTTCTCCATCCCTATTCCCCCTTCTCCTTTCCCCATTTCATTCCCCTTTCTCCTTTCCCTTTTCCCCTCCCCATTCTCCTTCTTCCCCTCCTTCCCCTATTTCCTTTCCCCTTTCTCCTTCCCCTCATTCCCCTTCTTCCCCTCCCTACCCTTTCTCCTTACCCCTTCTCCCTCTCCCTCCTGTTTCCCCCTCTCCTCCTTCCTTTCTCACCCTCAGCACACACTCCCTTTTCCCAGCTGAGGAGGCAGCCAAGCCTCAGCACAAATACCAGTTCCTCCTTTCTTACATATTTTGGGGGTTGTTCCCAAAGCCTCACAGTTGGGATCAGGGGCATCTCTCCAATGAAGGAATTTCTTCAGAAATTCTTCAGGCCCTCCCCCTCCCCTTTTGTGAACATCTCATTTTCTGGTTCCCTCTCTTCCCCTGCAGACCCGCTGTGAGATCCCTGCTCCCCTCTCTGGGATGGGATTCTCCACTCTCCTGGCTGGGATTCCTCACTGTCCTGGCTGAAATTCCCCAGTGTGTCCTTGCTGCTCAAGCCTCAGCATTAGCAGATCCCCATACCTTGCTGATCCATTCCCTACGGAAAAGGAGACTGGGTTTCTTTTTCATTCCCAGGCTGTGCTACAGGGAATATTCACCTTCACCATCATGTGGATCAATTTTTACCTACTCCACCTCAGCCTGGGGCAGTTCCCCTTTCCTTAGGTGACCTGGTGGCCCCCAGTTCCCTCAGGATCACCATATCCAAACTTCACACGGGCACCGCTCAGCACAGCTTGTTTGCAGCCCCAAATCCCTGCTGTCAAGCCATGGTTTAACTTCAGCCCTCCCAGCACTCACATCACAGGCACAAACAACCCTATCCAGCTATTTTCCAGGCTTCTGCAGAATCCTCAGCATCCGTCCTGTGCAGGCTCTGCCCGGCCACACAGTGGCAGTGGGGAACTGATGGAATGTCCTTGGGCTGCCGGTGGTTCACTGCTCAGAAACGGGAGGATGGATAGGCAGGAAACATTTCTGAGCAGGTTTAAAATGCTGAGAAAGCGCAAATTTCTCATTTTAAGCCAGAAGAGGCACATCCTGGCGCTTTATTTTCATTTTAAGCCAAGTGAGGCACCTCACGGAGCTGTATCTCCAGGACAGCTCTGCAGGAGAGCAGATAAGGGATGTCCCACTCCCTGCTTTGAAACGCTCCTCGGAGAGCAAAGCTTCCTGATTTGCTAGGGTTCTCCTAAGAGTGTCAAGCTCAGAGCCGAGGACACAAATGAGCCGTGACAGTAAATACCCGGCGGAGCAGACTAATGACATGCCCAGGAGCTGGAATGCCGCCTCAGCCTGGAGCGGGCTGCCTAAGCCGGCTGTTTGAGAGATGTGAACCGCGCCGGGAACACGGTGGGAAATCCTGCTGCCTGGCATTTCCCAGTTTACGAGTTCCATCTGCTGGGATCCTGCAAGTCTGCCGCGTTTTGAAATCACGCGACCCACCACAAAAACACGAGCGCGCCCGGGCGAGCGAGGCTGGGGCGGCGCCTCCGGGTCGAGCATCCCTGGGAACGCAGAACGCTCCTGCCTTTCCCCGGCGTTGCCTGGCCCTTCTGTGGCTGCTCGCTGGCACAGAGAGCTGCCAAAAGGGGTTGGGTTCCGGGGAGAAAGATGTCAAAAGAGGCTGGATCCCGGGGAGAAAGGTGCCAAAAGAGGCTGGGTCCCGCTCTGTCACCCGGGCTGTGCTGCAGGGCCCGTTCACAGGCGCGATCCCGCTACTGACCGCCACGGGAGCTTTGACCTGCTCCGTCTCCGACCTGGGCCGGTTCACCCCTCCTTAGGCGACCTGGTAGCCCCCGGCTCCCCCGGGGCCACCATATCGATGCCGGCCTTAGCCTGGACGCCCGCTCGGCACAGCCCCTGCAGCCCAGAACCCCCGGGCTCCCGCCGTCCTCCAGCCTCAGCCTCCCCGGAGCTTGGATTACAGGCACAAGCCACCGTGCCCGGCTGGCCAGCGCCGCTGCCCCCGCTCTCCATCACCCCAGGAGCAGCTCCTGCAGCTCCTCCGGCCTCACCACGGCAGCTGGGAACGGGCAGCGGGATGAATTGACGCTTCGGCAGCGCGGTGGGAACACAGGGGAGGAGCATCGGACACGGGAGGCAAAATTCAGCTCTTCCAACTGAAGATTCAATGCAATAGTTCGGTTTAGAAAGCAAAAGTTAAGCTGTTCTAAGCCAAAACTTTAAATTCATGGTCTTTCTTTTGGATGTGTCCAGTGAAAGCTCGGAGGGATCTGAGGAAAAGGGTCCGAGAGGCAGCCTGTTCACTGCAGGTGTAATGAGCTGACTGATTCTCAGAGAAGGATATAAAAGTAACAAAAATCTAACGAAAGGGGTCAAATGCAGGAGCCTCCTGCTTTTACCCATCCCCTGCCACAACAGGCAGCTGTTTAGCAACACTTGCACAGAGTATTTTTGATCTTCACTGGGTGTTTTGCCTCTCTCGGAGGTCTCAAAGAGACCTGCCCCAGGCAACCCATGGGAATAACTGTGTCAGGAGTGGGGGTGCTGCGGGTCACCTCCCCTCTCTGGTTCCATGGAAGGGCTCGAAGGATGGTGTCTGCATCGCATTTCTCCAGTGCAGAGGTCAAGGCAAGGGTGTCCTGCCCGAGCAGGACGTGCCTCGGCTCCAGACACGGACACGCCTCCTCCTGAAGGCACAGGGACACCTCCTGCCCTGCCGGACCCACTCGGGAGGTGTCTAAGCATTCCTCAGTGGAGCAAAGTCCAGGGCCAAAGTACACCTGACAATCCCATCGCAGAGAAGAAAAACAAGATTT